ACTAGTCACTTGATCAATACTGACTTATTGTACCCTAAGAAGTCATGCAAATAAATTGATGCTACGACTGCCTTTAAGAATTCGAGGTGCGACCTTTGTGGCTGATAAGCAACTGGATGAGGTTGTTGACTGTTTCTCCAGTTTGACCGATCTGTGGGATTCAAATTGAGGCTTGAATAAACGTATGTTTCAAATGAATACACTGTTCTGTTACTTCATGCACTAGCTGTACGCACACAAGTTATGCTGCAATATCCTAGTGTTAGTCTATTATGACGTGTATTTACTTTTCATTTTCACATGCTACAAGCAATGATATCGGAATAATTCACATTTAATTTTGAGTAGTGTAGTGGGATAATTGCTTTTGATTTGAACTGACCATCCTTCGAACTTCAGCTTCACACACAATCCTCAGTCGGTCATACACTCCGAAACACTAGACTCGGGTTTCGCTCATCTATGGTGTATATCCACCGTCCCTTCCGCGATTCGAACTCCGAACCCATCGCATGGAAGGCGTGTGTTTGGTACCACTGTAACAACCAGCTCAGGCCACGGCTGAACCTAATTGCCACTTCATGTTTGTTCAGGTGTCGTCTTCATTGATTGTCATTGGGTTCACTTTTGGCCCGACAGCAACGGAAGGAGACACGGCTGACTATCTGTTAGCTGCAATGTGCTTTAAAAGAGTAGTGGAACACAAATTCCGTGCTTCTGAGTGCATAGTTGACTAGACGATCGGAGGTTTGTGCATATAGGTGAAGTCCGAAGGATGCTCAGTTCAAATCAATATCGTTATCAGAGTAATCCGTTAAGTTGCTCATTCAAATGATGTTATACAATTTTGTTGTACGCTGTAAGACAATCATCAATGTTAATAATAGCAATTGTTTTAGTGTAACGTTTTTAGGCAGCTTTGCTGTCGTCGTCCGGATCAATACCACGCCTAACCTTGTGGGGCCTTATGTGGTTCGCCACTCCAAGTCCCGAGGCTTAGGTTGCACGCCTCCACCACTGAACAGCAGGTCCTCGTGACTATGGGGTTTATCCCATCTACTGTTCAACACAATAAGTATCATGACCCAAGTCGAGGGTTGAGGTGATTGATCCACAAATTGAAGCATTATGGAGGCACTGGATTTGAGAATGTGATCTAACGACCGATATGTCGGTGAAAAACAGCGTATGGTCATATTTCATGGTTGCTTTTAGAATAACTGTAGGTAGGTCTGTTGTAAGTAGTATAAGAATGACTAGATAAAGTTCTCAGAAGCACCCGACCGGTTCTTGCTGCGTATCAGACACTCGTATCCAATACTCCCGTGAAAAGCTATTTTTAAGTCTACAACCTCGATACAAATCAATACACCATAATTGCAAGTGAAATTAAGGGAATCATTTCGAGATAGACCGAATTCAAAAATCAACACTTTGATTGTGAGTTCGCTTTTGTGGGTTGGTGCGTCGAATATCAGCCAACTTGACAGGGCATGCAATTTTATCTGATGTTATAAGAAGTAACATATGAACTGCTGGGAGGAATTTTTCGAATCAAGTTGGAATCTGATGGAGTGAAATACATTGGTAGCAAAGGAATAAGATGAAATGGATGGAGGACTACTGTATAGATATGCCTACTGGATAAGCAGCAAGGACCATGAAGCCGAATGTGTGCTTCCGGAAGATTTTATTTAATCATCCACATACTGTTTGTTATAAAAGTACCCAAGGAATGCCTCCATAGTCTTAAGATTAGATACAGCCAACCCATAAAAATGATCATATCGATCGTTTGAAGTTGATTCTACTCGGAGTTACCACATGCGATACAAATGAAGCCATTGTGGAGCATTATTGCTTTTGATTGAATTATAATTCGATCTACAACCTCGTGGGACACTAAATGATAAATGAATGCCACCTACGCGTTTGCACACATGATTGAACCGCCACAACAGCACTGATCTTTTCACATTTGGCCACCCACTCAACCTACAGAGTGAGATATGAGAAATTGACTAATTAGTATGTAGGCTTTCTGTTCTTAGAAGGGGGCACGAAGAACCTGTTGGGTGAAATTTGTAACTCAGACGATTGCTCCAACTGTCTGGTTTGGTGAGGTAATCGAGTGGCACTTATTATTCGTGACGGAGTTCTGAACAATCTGCGGTCTGTTTTATCATTATTCTCTTATTTGATTCAATGATTGCCTATTGCAGGCACTGAGATAGTTCACTTTCAACCGATGTTTCATTTCTGTGTTCAGGGACACGGAAAGAAAAGGAACGAAGATGCGGACCGCAAAATGTGAACCGAATTAGACAGGGACAGAACAACCTTAGAGTCAGTGCAAAAGCCCCCACTGTCCCAACAGACTCTGCATGTGTACAGGGAACCCACTTGACCACATGTGTGCTTGTGTTTTCGTGTAGTCAAAACACATCTGAGTTTTAGAGGAGTCCGGCTTGCATAACCGTTCTCATCTACTTCTATAAATAAACTGTTTCGGGGCGTTTTTGGACCGATTCGAATCGAATTCGCGGTGACCAGTTGATCATTTGAGTCAGCGCCGGGAAATTCGATACGGGATGCTTAGTCCTCGAACCTGTCTGTGGTCCCCGAAGGTAGATATCAGTTTGTGCTAGCAGCACCGTTAACTGTAGTCTGTGAGCGGTGACATATGCTCTCCCAGAAGCTCGTAGCATAAACGTAAAGTAAAACCAGCTACGGTGCTTTTCAATTGTCTAAACCATCTTTATGGCGGATATACAGGCGTACAGGGTACACGGAAAAATATGAAACGTGTGCTAATAGAATTCGTTGGAAGACAAATGTCGTTATATTCCTCTCAGTCGCTGACTTAAAACAAACAAGCATATGTATACAGCACCTAAGTTTGTTCAATTATGGTGAATGAACGTGTACAAGAATACAAAGATTACTTCAGATGGAAGTAGAAGATCAACTCCACGGTGAGTGGATTGATTGTATAAAATTGGTTGTGCACCCAAGGTCCGGTGATGTAATCGAAGAACAAGTGTTTCACTAATTGCCAAAAGTTTAGCATTGTGATTACGAATTGGGGGGCTTTAAAGACAAATTGAGGTCAACTGTGTGTCTTCTGGTCATGACATGTTTTGCAACAGATGACTCGGGATATCCTGTGATGACTTGACCATCA